TCTGACACACTTCCGGTGATGCCAGGGGGTGTGGCATATGCAAATAAGTTATGCTAATGAGTTACGCTAATGAGCTCCTGCACCTCTTTTTCTACGAAATGACCCCTGGCTGTGACCAAGCAAGGGCAAAAGTACAAGCCGATACAAAAAACATCAGTGTAAAAGGTTGGGTTACCACCTTTGGGTTGGGAAATACCTGGAGATTTTGGGGATGGAACCTGAGGAGGGCGACGTTTGGGTACCATGCCGGAGAGCCCGCCTTCCGAAGCAGCCATTTTTCTCCAGGTGAATTGATCTCTGTCACCTGGAGACCAGGTGCAATCCCAAGAGACCTCCACCCACCACCTGGCAGCCGAAAAACAAACAACAACAACCGTGATAATCCCAAGAAGTCAATTCAGTTTTTCAAGTGTTGGGTAAATATCATTTCATTCCTGTGAAATCACATGGACGGACACATCCTTCAGCATAAGAATAATCCAATGACACATCATCCTCTCCTCTGTTCGGTGTCGTAGTTAGGAGCGCGGACTCTAATCTGGGACAACCGCGTTTGATTCCCCACTGCTCCACATGCAGCTGCTGGTGTGACCTTGGGTCATTCCCAAGTTCTCTCAGAGCTGTTCTCTCAAGGGCAGTCCTCGGAAGAGCTCTCTCAGCCCCACCTACCTTATAGGGTGTCTGTTGTGGGGAGGGGACGGGAAAGGAGATTGTAAGGCGTTCTGAGACTCCTTTGGGTACTGAAGAGTAGGGTATAAATCCGATCTCCTCCTCCTCTATTGCAGGAGACTGCCTGGTCCACTATACCTCAAGCGTCATCCAATGCAAATCAAGTGCAATAGCCAGTAAAATGTTCTTAGCGTCTTTCTGCGGTGGCTCACCTGGTTAAGACGCTAAACTGCAGGCTGTGGAAGGTCAGTAGTTCAGCAGTTCGAGACCCAGGTGCTGCTTAATGGAGTGAGCTCCCATCTCTAGTTCCAGCTCCTGCCAACCTAGCAGTTCAAAAGCAAGAAACTGCAAGTAGATAAATAGGTACCACTTCGGTGGGAAGGGAACAGCGTTCCATGCACCTTGGTGTTTAGTCATGCCGGCCACATGACCACGGAAACGTCTTCGGACAGCGCTGGCTCTTCGGCTTTGAAACGGAGATGAGCACCGCAACCCTAGAGTCGGACTCGACTGTCTTTCAAGCAAGGGAACCTTTACCTTTACATTCCTACATCCAAGGAGCAGGAAAAGACGCGGTTCCACAGACAGGCTTGCTCAAACACCTGTTGCGACAAGCTCTTCCTCCGAGCAGAATTTGTGTAGGCTTTACAAATTCTCTTCTTACTCAGTTTCTTGGCCGCATCTTCTCTCTTCTAGGCACGAATAGAGGATTATGTCAGTGGATTATTCTTATTGTGAAGGATGTGTACGTCCATGGGATTTCACAGAAATGTACCGATATTTATCCAACACTTGAAAAACCGAATTGGCTTTTTGTAATTATATCAGGGTGGTTGCTAGTGTTTATTTTTCATTTGCCAATCCCCTGATCTCTCTGGGCTACTGTAAACCAATGCTCCCTCTAAGCTGTGGAGTTTTGAGAGAAAAAAATCTACTTTGTGAGCTCCTGGCATTAAAGTTGTGAGCCAGTGATTGGGCTACAGCATAAAGTAGCTTGCTCTGGAGCCCTCCAGTTTCGTGTCGTGGTTGACTGCGCGGACTCTAATCTGGGAGAACTGGGTTTGATTCCCCACTCCTCCACATGCACCTGCTGGATGACCTTGGGCAAGCCATAGTTCTGTCAGAGCTGTCCTTGAAAAAAAGCAGTTTCTCTCACTCAGCCCCACCTACCTCCCAGGGTGTCTGTTGTGGGGAGGGGAAGGGAAAGGAGTTTGTAAGCTGCTCTGAGACTCCCTTGGGTAGTGAAGGGCGGGGTATAAATCCAATCTCCTCTTCTTCTTCTTCTTCCACTTGCACCTGCTGGATGACCTTGGGCAAGCCGTAGTTCTGATAAGAGCTGTCCTTGAAAAAGAGCAGTTTTTGTCAAGAGCTCTCTCAGCCTCACCTACCTCACAGGGTGTCTGTTGTGGGGAGGGGAGGGGAAAGGGGTTTGTGAGCTGCTCTGAGACTCCCTTGGGTAGTGAAGGGCGGGGTATAAATCCAATCTCTTCTCTTCCTCCCTGAGCTAAGACAAAAGGTGTGAGCCGGAGTCTTAAAAACTTTGAGCTAGCTCAGTTTAGAGGGAACTCTGTGGTAAACCACCTGGCAGTTGGCAACTCTAGTAAAAGGGCATCTGCTGACCTCTCCGCGATCTACTAATAGATTGTGATCTACCTGTTGGACATACCTGGAGTAGCCCCTTCCAATGTACCTCTAAGCTGAGTCAGTGTGAGCTAGCTCACCGTTTTTTCAGACTCGGGTTCACAGATGTTTGTCTTTGCTCAGGAAGGAGGGCCCCAGAGCAATGTTTATTTATTTATTATTTCAACTTGATATACCGCCCTAACCCCTGTAGGGGTCTCTGGGCGGTTTACATTGTTCCCTCTAAGCTGAGTTAATGTGAGTCAGCTCACAGATTTTTTAGCCTCCGGCTCACCCATTTTTGTCTCGGCTCAGGAAGGAGGTCTCCAGAAGAGCAAACTAATTGATGCAGCAGCCCAATCGCTCGCTCACAACTTTAATGCCGGTAGCTCACAAAGTAGGATTTTTGCTCTCAAGACTCAACAGCTTAGAGGGAACATTGCTCCAGAGGAAAGTAATTGACGCAGGAGCCCCAATCGCTGGCTCACAACTTGAATGCCAGCAGCTCACAAAGCAGAATTTTTGCTCTCCGGACTTTGTGGCTCAGAGGGAGCATTGGAGGAAGGGCGGGGTCCCCAAGGCAGCTCTTTGCAGCGACCCCAATGCGGGGGATCCCTGCCCACGAGCTGGGAGGAGGCCCCGCCCCCTCCTTCCCAGCACCCCCCGGGAGCAGCCCACTCGGCCCGCGAGCAGCTAAGGGGCTAGTCCTCAGCGCGGGAGCCGGGGAGGTTCCAGGGCCGCGGGTAAGAGGAGACGTTGCATGTCGGCCACGCGTTTCTTTGGCCTTGAGAGCTGCAGGGGGGGAAAAAGACAAAGAGGGAGTCACTTTTCTGGGCTCCCCCCGTCTCCTGCTGTGATGGGGGAGCGACATGCAGGGCGGCGCTTTCCTTCCATTGCAAAGGTCGGAGCAGAAGCAGAACGTCTTTTGGGAAGGCGGCCGGCCTTGGCTTCTCACCTGAGGTTTTAATGTGTTCCTGGGACCGCATTTTGCATGCTCTGCAAACCACTCCCCCCCAACCCTGCAACTGGGCACTGGAGGATTTCAGCTCTGCAGGCTGCAGAAATGCAAACATGGCAGGGGGGTTGGCGGCCGCTTGCTGGAGTGGGGCCTGGGGGGGGGGGGGGGGCGGGGGAAGGGAGGCGGTGCTCCCTCTAAGAGGAGGCGGTGTGAGCCAGCTCGCCGGGGTTTTTAGCCTCCGGCTCACCCATTTTTGTCTCCGCTCAGGGAGGAGGGCTCCAGAGCAACGCCCCCTCTAAGCCGTGGGGTCTCGTGAGCAGAAATCCTACTTTGGGAGCTCCTGGCATTAAAGTTGTGAGCGAGCGATTGGGCTATTGCATGAATTGGTTTGCTCTGGGGCCCTCCTTCCTGAGCAAAGACAAAAATCTTTGAACCTACCCAGCTTAGAGGTACATTGGAAGGGGTTACTCCGGGTATGTCCAACCAGTTTGCTCGGGAGCCCTCCTTCCTGAGCTAAGATGAAAATGTGCCAGCCGGAGGCTAAAAAACTGTGAGCTGGCTCACACTCACTCAGCTTAGAGGGAACACTGCGAGTGCAGAGTATGCGTTTCGTCCCATTGGGGCCTTCTTCAGTGGTCAATATTACTATTGTAACAGAACACACATCCAGAAATAAAGATATGAAAACAGATTTTCTTTAGAGCCAGGTGTTGCTTTCGCATGTGATGTTCAGTTGCTAAATGTTTACACAGTAGGCCCATGGATAATCTCTCATGGTAACGGCACATGCTCTCCAAATTGTTCTGGTAACAGATATCCAGTGTATCTGGATGTGTGTCTCTTCCATCAAAGGTCGTAATCAACTTCCGTGGAAGGCTAAATGTGGTGCCTTCCACGGAGATAGATCCAACATGGGTAGCTGTGTTTGTCTGTAGCAGCAGAAGAGATTAAGAGTCCAGTAGCTAATGACATTGGTCCAATCTGCATTTGTCTTTCCCACCGGTGTCCCAGCCGTCTGACTCAGTTTTCAAAAAAGCGGTCTACATTTGGTGTCGTTTTCACACCTCAACAGTACTAGCATACTTTTGCATGTCTGCATATGTTTATCGCCCTCTCGTGGCGGCTCCACTGTCATTGCACCTCTGCACTGCTTTAAAAGAATCTTCTCCAAACAACATTCAAACAAGCATCGAGAAAGACGGCGTCACAGCAGCACGAAACTGATTTAAAAATGCGAATGCAGATTCGACCGTAGGTAGTTAATGACTAAGAAAATTTGTGGCAGGGTAAGAGCTGTTGTGAGAAGTGAGCTTTCTGAAGAAGTGTGTGGTGGCTCACAGAAGTTCCTCCTTTGCCACAAATTTTGTTAGTGTTTAAGGTGCTTCTGGACTCTTGCTCTTTTCTACTAGACTTCTCTCTCTCTTCCCCTCTTCCTCTGTTTGTACATTTCTTCTCTCTGGTGGGGATTTCCCCCCCTTGACCTCTAGATATTTTTTCACCATTGTGGCCAAGACTGAATGCTCCATTTTCATAGGCAGCGTATGTCTAGCTACACAATAATAATAATATATTTTGATTTATTAATCCTGCTGTCTCTGAGCGATTTACAGTTACACATATTAACAAGGGACAAGAAGAAAGGACTGTCTCCGTCATCTCTTGCTCATGATCTCCTAAGAACTTTTGACAAATGTGTTATTTGTGTCTCTCTAGGTTTGTGGACCCCCCCAGCCATTTTTCCTGGACGGAGAGTTACTACCGGTCCACGATGTCGCAGGGCTCGCAAACCAGGGAATTCCTCAATCCAGAGGTTTTCCAGCACCTCTGGGATATCCTTGAGCAGTAAGTAGAAAGATGTAGTTACTTGAAAGGAGGTGTGTGCGCCCTGGGTAGATATTTTGTGGGAACAGCCGCTAGGCCATGGTTTCCCTGGCCTTTTAGAGCCCGTGGGCACCTTTGGAATTTGACACGGGGTGGTGGGCATTGTCACAAAATGGCTGCCTCAAAATGGCCGCCGCAGGAGATGGAGCCAGCCACAAAGCGGCCGCCGCAGCTTGCCTTCAGTCACACAGTAAGGATTTTTGTGTCATGGTGGCAGCTGCGCCAAAGCAACTTTAAAAAAAAATCTTCACAACCAATCAAATCTACCATGAAGAGGTTGGATTTATACCCCACCCTTCACTCGGAGTCTCAGAGCGGGTTTACAGTCTCCTTTCCCTTCCCCTCCCCACAACAGACACCCTGTGAGGTCGGTGGGGCTGAGAGAGCTCTGACGGAAACTGCTCTTTTTCAAGGACAGCTCTGCCAGAACTACAGCTTGCCCGAGGTCATCCAGCAGCTGCAAGTGGAGGAGTGGGGAATCAAGCCCGGTTCTCCCAGATTAGAGGCCGCGCACTTAACCACTAACTGCACACTTAAAATGGAGAGGAGAACGATGTAAGCTGTTTTGAGTCCCCACTCAAGCTGGAATGGAAATGAATAAAATTGAAGGAGTTGGTCAGCTACAGCGAAGGGTGCCAAGACCCAGCGGTGCCCACTTCCGTCTGCTCTCTCTCTCCCCTCTTGCAGGCCGATTTGTTCAGTTCAGCCGATCGACTTGAACTTTCTGGACGACCCGACGGAAAATGGGCCTGCCAACAAGATTGAGATCAGCATGGATTGCATCCGGATGCAGGACGCCGACGTCGGGGACCCGATGTGGGTGAGTCAGGAGCGCGCCGCTGCCCTCCGGTGGGTGGAGGTCTTGCTTGTTTTTTTGCAGACGGGTATACCAAGGAGGATGCGATGGGCTTGCTGTGGTTCCCAGTGCAAAACGGTGTGGGTCTTACAGGCGCTCAGCTTCTGTGTGTTTATTGGAAATGTTTATTAGCCACCTTTCTTCTTTCCGGAGCTCAAGATGGCTGAACAATAGAGGAGGAGGAGGAGGGGGTGGTGGGATTTATACTCGGCACTTCACTACCTGAAGGAGTCTCAGAGCCGCTTACAATCTCCTTTCCTTTCCCCTCCCCACAACAGACACCCTATGAGGATGCATTAACAGAAGCGTTGTGTCCAGATCACGGGAGGTGGTAGTTCCGCTCTTTTCTGCTATGGTCAGGCCTCCTCACCTGGAGTCCTGTGTCCAGTTTTGGGCACCACATTTGAGGAAGGATGTTGACAAGCTCGAGCATGTCCAGAAGAGGGCAACCAGGATGGCGAGAGGGTTGGAATCCAAGTCTTACGAGGAAAGGCAGAAAGAGTTGGGTCTGTTTAGCCTGGGAAAGAGAAGGCTTAGAGGGGACAGGATTGCAGTCTTCAAGTATCTGAAGGGCTGTCATGTAGAAGATGGGGCAGATCTGTTCTCTCTTGCTCCGGATTGCAAGACTGGATCTAATGGGTGGAAATTACAAGGGAGTCGTTACCGGCTAAATATCAGGAGAAACTTCCTAACTGTACGAGTGGTTGAGCAGTGGAACAGACTGCCTTGGGAGGTGGTGGATGCTCCTTCGCTGGCCATTTTCAAGCGGAGGCTGGATGGCCATCTTTCGGGTATGTCGTAGGGCTCTCTTTCGGCTCTGCTCCTGCAGAGTGCAGGGGGTCGGACTAGATGACCTGCAAGGTCCCATCCAACTCTAACGTTCTATGATTGTATGAGGTAGGTGGGGCCGAGAGAGCTCTTTCGAGGACTGCTCCTGAGAGAACAGCTCTGACAGAACTTGTGACCGGTGTTCCCTCTAAGCTGAGTTAGTGTGAGCTAGCTCACAGTTTTTTAGCCTCCGGCTCACAGAGCAAACTAAAATTATGCAATAGCCAAACTGCTCGCTCGCAACTTTAATGCCGGTAGCTCACAAAAGTAGAATGTTTGCTCGCAAGACTCCACCGCTTAGAGGGAGTGCTGCTTGTGACTGACCCAAAGTCATACCAGCAGCCGCATGTGGGGGGAGCGGGGACTCAAACCCGGTTCTCCCATACTAGAGTCCGCGCTCCTGCTAACCACCACACCACACCACACCAAACAGAAAATAAAGTACATAAAAATAACGTAAAACCGAAAATTAATGTCACCGTTTGGAACTGCTTGGATCAAATGCAAGTCCTAAATAAAACCGTCTTCAGCTGGCTCCTCAAGATTGAGAGTGAGGGGGCCGGGCACACCTTCCTGGGGAGACGGTTCCATAATCGCGGGGCTGTCCCCGAAAAGGCCATCTAGCGTGTGCCCACCAAAGGGAGCGGTGGCGCAGGCAATACGACGGCTGCGGTTAACATCTGTAGCGAACAGCCATAAAGGCTGTTCGAATCCCCACCGCGGCCGGGTTGAGCCCAGCTCCCGCCAACTCAGCGGCTCTAATAACAACAGAGGAATGGGTACCTGCCCTAGGTGGCAGGGGGCATCCTCCTCCTGGCTCTGCGCTGGGAAGGCGATTGGCAGCAGCGAGGAAAAAGGAGAGACGGCGATGGCAAGAAAGAAATGGCGGCGGAGAGCGACCTAGGAAGGCAGCAGCCGGACCAAGCGGAGGTGGAGTTGGAGCCAGAGCAACGCGGGAAGCAGCGCGGCAGGAGCCATTGGGACATTGGCTGCAAGCTGCGCCCGGGACGCGGCGCTCCGAAGGAGAGAACATCAAAAGAAAAAGCCTGCTCGATTCCGGCCGACAGCCATCCGGATCGCGGGGAAAACAACGAAGCTGCTGGAGCAGAAAGACTATGCCGTAAAAAGGGTGCTGGTAGGATATCCCCGCCCCTCACTGCATTGTGGCACTAGATAGGTATCAACTATGTTGTTGTAGTACTCTGTGAACCGAACCCATTAGGGGTCATGGGCGGTATATAAATCACATGTAAATAATTTTTTTTTTTAAAGGAGCCTTTTCACCGGCAACTTTCTTTGAATCGCCAGCCTGCCGTGCTGTTGTGTGTACGTTCTAAGCTCTTCCTTTTGAATGGGGGTCCCAGGAAAAGGGCTGCAGTGGCTCAAGTGGTTAAGACGCTGAACTGCAGGCCGGAAGGTGGGTAGTTCAGCAGTTCGAGACCCGAGTTGCCGCATGACGGAGTGAGCTCCCGTCTCTGACCCCAGCTCCTGCCAACCTAGCAGTTCGAAAGCAAGAAATTGCAAGTTGATAAATAGGTCCCGCTTCGGTGGGAACAGCGTTCTGTGCACCTCGGCGTTTAGTCATACCGGCCACATGACCACGGAAAAAGTCCTCGGACAGCGCTGGCTCTTTGGCTTGGAAACGGAGATGAGCACCGCAACCTTAGAGCCGGATTTGACTGGCTTTCAAGCAAGGGAAACCTTTACCTTACCCAGGGAAAGGGACTCTGCTGAGTATTTATTATTTCTTTATTAATCCCATTTGTATCCCACCCTCCCCGCAATGCAGGCTCAGGGCGGCTCACAGTCAATGCATAAATACAGTTAGCTTGGAGAAACGACAGCTGAGGGGTGACATGATCGAGGTTTACAAGATTGTGCATGGGATAGAGCAGGCCGAGAAAGAAGTCCTTTTCTCCCTTTCTCACAATACAAGAACTCAAGTGGGCACTCAATGAAATTGCTGAGTGGTCGGGTTAGAACGGATAAAAGGAAGTCCTTCTTCACCCAAAGAGTGATGAACATGTGGAATTCACTGCCACAGGAAGTGGTGGCGGCTACAAGCATGGACGGCTTCCAGAGGGAATTAGATAAGCATATGGAGCAGAGGTCCATCAGTGGCTATTAGCCACAAGGTATAGATAGGAACTCTCGGTGTGGGGCAAGCGATGCTCTGTATTCTTGGTGCTTGGGGGGGGGAAACAGTGGGAGGGCTTCTAATGTCCTGGTCCCACTGCTGGACCTCCTGAGGGCACCTGGGGTTTTTGGCCACTGTGTGACAGAGTGTTGGACTGGATGGGCCATGGGCCTGATCCAACATTGGCTTCTCTTATGTTCTTATGTCCTTATACAATCATCTAAAAGCCAATTCCATTATAGCTAATACAAATTAATAAATTAATAAAGTGCTGGTGACGGTCATTGAGTTGTTCGAGATGGCTGACTCTCACGGTATACTTTCAAAGATCTAGGCGTCATTCTGCGCATGATCTTCCTGCGGCACAGGCTAGGTGTCGAAACCAAAACCAAGGGCCAGGGCTCTGTAGTTGTGGCGGCTCCCTAGCTGAAAGCCTGGCGGAAGAGCTTCGTCTCGCAGGCCCTGCGGAACTGCAAAAGAATCTCTTCCAGGAGCACATTCCACCAGGACGGGGCCACCACCGAGAAGGCCCTGGCCTTGGTGGTAGCAAGCCTGGCAACATTGGGGGCTGGGAGGGCCAGTCGGTTTTGAGACCCCGACCGTAGTGCTCTCTGGGGCATATACGGGGAAAGGTCGTCCTGCAGGTATGTCGGACCCCGGCCCTATAGTCCTTTAAAGGTAGAACCAGCACCTTGAAGCGAATCCGGTATGCTATCAGCAGCCAGTGCAGCGTCCTCAGCACAGGCTGGATGTCCTTCCATCTAGGGAGGCCCATCAAGACCCTGGTCGCAGCATTCTGCACTAGCTGTTTGGTGTCGTGGTTAAGTGCGCAGATGCTAATCTGGGAGAACTGGGTTTGATTCCCCACTCCTCCGCTTGCACCTGGCTGGATGACCTTAGGCAAGCCGTAGTTCTGATAAGAGCTGTCCTTGAAAAAGAGCCGTTTCTGTCAGAGCTCTCTCAGCCCCACTGACCTCACAGGGTGTCTGTTGTGGGGAGGGGGGAGGAAAGGAGACTGTGAGCCTCTCTGAGACACCTTTGGGTAGTGAAGGGTGGGGGAGAAATCCAATCTCCTCTTCTTCTTCTTCCTCCTCCTCCTCCACTTGCACCTGGCTGGATGGCCTTGGGCAAGCCATAATTCTGGCACAACTGTTCTTGAAAAAGAGCCGTCTCTGTCAGAGTTCTCTCAGCCCCGCCTACCTCACAGGGTGTCTGTTGTGGGGAGGGGAAGGGAAAGGAGTTTGTAATCCACTCTGAGACTCCTTCAGGTAGTGAAGGGCAGGGTATAAATTCAATGTCTTCTTCCTCCTCCACTTGCACCTGGCCGGATGATCTTGGGCAAGCCATAGTTCTGATAAGAGCTGTTCTTGAAAAAGAGCAGTTTCTGTCAAGAGCTCTCTCAGCCCCACCGACCTCACAGGGTGTCTGTTGTGGGGAGGGGAAGGGAAAGGAGTTTGTAAGCCGCTCTGAGACTCCCTTGGGTAGTGAAGGGGGAGGTGTAAATCCAGTCTCCTCTTCTTCTACCTGCAGCCTCCGAACGTGCGACAGGGGCAGCCCCATGTAGAGTACCTTGTACAGTTGGGCTTTCCCGGTTTCCTGGAGGAAGCCCGAGACCCTGTTGGCTGCGGTTTTCTCCGCCTTTGCTCCCGCTTGCTCAGCCGCTGGCAGGCAGGCAGGTGCGTCTCGAAAGGTGTGCTCCGGGCGGGCCTCTGGGTTTCTCGCACCGGGCAGGAGCGTGGGGGCTCGCCTCCCCGCCCGCTGCCGGAGAGGCGGCCTGCCGCTTTTGTCGTGCAATTCAGTGCAATCCTGGCGTGTGGCTCTAATCTGCTGTTGACTCAAGGGCGGCTCTTAAGTGCTCTCTGCCCCCATGTTCGTGTACAAATATGCCACTCTTCCCCCCCACCCCCGGCGGCACTCCCCCCTTCCTTTCAGTCATTCATAAAAGGCTCTTGGCAGGGACCGAAATGTGCTCCTTCGGGGACTCTGTGCAAACGGCGTG